CCCCCTTTTTTTTTCTTTTAACAAACGAAAAGCATTAAACAAAATGCTTTTGTTACACAAATCATCCTAGTAGTAATCACTTTTAAAATGCAGAGAGGAGAACAAAATAAGAAGGAAAAAAATATTAAAATAAAATAAAAATAATAAAAAGAAAGAAAGAAAGAAAGAAAAACAAGAAGTAAAATATATGGGTGACAGCTCTCCATTCATTGACGTTCTACAAGACCCACTGGCACCAAGTGAACAGGTGAAGTCCCATAGCAAAGATAAAATTTAAACACCCACAGCCACAAAAAAAGCAGAAGAGACAACGCAAAGCACTTGCTGCCCCGCCTTTCTCATCATAGCATTTCCTGTGACTTCCTCACGCAGCGGCTTACCTTTTTCTTAAAATCTTCCCGCCTATCCCTCCATTCCTTCTGCACCAACACACACAAGCTTAGTCTCAAAAACTGATACAACACAACAGCTCAAAGGCTTTCTTCCAAATTATCAAACGATGGATGGACTAAAATATTGGGTAGATATTGTGACATCCTACTACATGCAGACCTAAGCTTCCAATATATCACTGACAAACTTTAGTTGTATTGGGTCAAACAAACATACACAACCCAACAAATACAGCACAGATAACCTTCGCGTGTGCTCAAACAATATCACTGAATCAAGTTCAATCTAAGCATATCTCATGACACCATAAGAATGACAACTCAAAACAACTTATACAATATTATATTACTACAAAGTTAACCTATGACAAATAAAGATTACATTAATGCTGCAATTGCTCGAGAAACTCGCGGCTCATGTGGAAAGAACTTGACAAAACTAATGACTCGACAAGACCAAAGGCTTGAAATGAATCTGAAGCTACGAGGCACCTTACCTAGCCTCTTGCCATAGGAAAGTGCTGAGTGCACCTTGAAAACTCTAGCTTGGTTAGGTTGGCTTTCCCTTAAAAACCTATCAGCCAATCTATCACCTTGAATTTTCTATGTTTCAAGTCCACAGTGGTAGATTCCATAGCTTGAATAACCATTAAAATACTAAAATGACATCTAGACTTCCTAAGGGCAATGGAAGATTATCCTCTACAATGCCACACGCCCTCTAACAGAAATATACCCATCCCTCTCATTGGGACTCACCGTCACAGTTCAATCTACCCTTCAGTTATGACACATCCCAGGGAATCTGTTCCGACTAAAAGACAAATCTGCAACACACTGCACAATTAGTTGTCCCAAAAAAACTTTTTCAAAATTATCGAGAAGCCTCTTCATCACAGAACTTCCTAAAGATGAATAATGCAGGCACTCTTTCCATTCACAAACCTTCTCCTTCCAATTGACTGCCATATAACCCTCCCATTTCTCTCTCCTCCAACTATTTCCATTCCACTAACCCTTTTATTTTTCTTACTAGTTGGCCTTGTTGATCAAGGTCAAAGGTTGTGGGTAAAACAATAAACCAAGGTTATAGGCGAGAAAACTTTGTATATCAAAAATCCCAAGTTGGCATTGGGCATGTAATAAATATCTTCATAGAGTAACGGTGGTGGGTCATGATGTATATCAATAAAAGTAAATCAATTACACATTTTCTTAAACTCTATCCAGTTTGAAGTATGCGTTTTGTCCTTTTTTTCCTACTATACACGTATAATTATGAACTATCACGATGCATATCTTGAATTTTAAACAACTAGCTTTGAAAGCAAAATATCACAAATTTAGGGATAAGAAGACTAATGGTTTTATAAAAATATGAAATATGCAAAATGTGAGAATAGATGACAAGACAAAAGAGTATCGAGAACAAGAGGCTGGCGGATAGAGAACATGGACAAACTAAAAGGCAGAAAGAAAGACTGATCAACTATCAAGGATATCAAAAAAAGTATATGAAGAAAACAATAAAAGGATGCAAAAATAAGAAAGGGGAAAGGAACAGACATCAAGGCAAAAAGAAGAGAGATTAACACGTGAATGTTGCTTGGTGTTTCTCTAAGTCAGCTAATATAAAGGGATGATTCTTTTGCACGTAAGGTACTCAAACAAAAAGCAAACGTAGGTTGCCATATATGAAGCATAGATAGGACAAACATTGGACAAGAATGAACAATCACTTACAGCAGCTTCAACATTTGCAGGTGATTCATCATTTGGGCTCGATAGCATTGATATAATACTCAAAACTATGCTTTCAACCTACAACAACAACAACGGAGTCTTCATTAATATTTACACAGCCCAGGGAAAAGAAAAGTTCTTCACCGCATCCTTGAATTGGTGCTATCATCGTGAGGAAGTTCAGTAAAGAAGATTAATGAACATAGCAAGCAAGACCAAGAAACAATCGAGAGGATGCCTACCTCTAGAAAATACTTTTAAGACGAATTTAAGTTTATACACAAGTCAGAGACCCATAAAAATATTTTACAGCGTAACATTATCAAAAAGACCTGCACAACAATATCACTGCAATTTAATGTCCATTTTAACCATTCCAATTACTAAATGGACATTCACTTCTTAACTTGAGGATTGGACATCTTACTGCAGAATCAGAGTCAAACAGTCATGCACTCACTCAATAGTTAAAACAACCCCCTCTTCTCTGACTCTTTTTAGGAAGGAGGGCACTGCCTGAGAAAGAAATGTCCAGGAGCTTCCTCAGAATGATAGGTAGGTAGTAATTCTAAGCAATATTTTTTTATGTAATTAGTTCTAAGCAAGATTTTTCAAAAAACAAGGCGCTACATTATACCAAATGTCAAAATCCAATGTTGTAATAACATTATTAATCATAATTCATTTTGCAGGTCAAGAAATATCCAAAGAATTGAAAAGGAAAAGTGGAACTGCTTTAGAACATCTAAAATTCAGTGCAAATCCCACTTCTAATCAAGACCATACTGCACACGTAAAGCCAAAAACAGGATGATTTAGCCACAAAACTGAAGTCCTGGAGTTTATCTTAGAATGATAGGGAAGAGGATGAACAAGGTGAAGCAGTGGGTGAAAGCACGGTAGAAACTATAAGCAGAGTAGAAATTTCCACTAGAACGGAAGCTGCAATTTTCAGCTATACCTTCGAATAAAAAACAAGTTTTACTACAGGAAACAAATACCAAAAATAGTAAAGGACCTATTTTTTTCTGAATATAGTTCCAAATCATTAAGCACCTTCAGAATGGGTGCATTTTAAAATGAATAGTTATCCAAGTTTCAGTTCACTATTTGACATCTAAACACTGTTTCAAACCCAATGAACAAGAAGATCCAAGGAGATTATGGGTTTTTTTTTTTTTTTTTTTTTAAAAAA